CCTCGGGGCAACTGAGGGTCGACAATCATGACGTAGGTATGCACTCAGAGGTCAGGAGGCGAGGCATGCCATTTCTGCCTAGTCTGCAGACTGGGAAGGTAATCACGGATGAATCGGGCCCAGAATTGATCGGCCAAGATCTGAGAATGTCTCCATCTTTTGCGACTTAAAATCTCGGATTCTGGGTAAATGACTTGAGGTAAAGATCCATCAGGCCGCCCCATGAGGAGACTACTAGGGGTCACTGGGTCCTTTACAACAGTGGTGTTTTTAATATGCTTTTAGACAAACCATGTGCCTATCTATTTATCAACACCATTGCTGAGTATTTTCTCCTTAAAACTGTAGTTTCCCCAAAGGCAGTCACAGAAACGCGGTTTGAAACAGACCATTTTTTGCTATGTCACAAAATTCAATAACCAATCACGTCAAGGGATCCTGTCCTTAGCATATCATTAACTGTGCTGCAAAGCATAGGGTCTAGTGAGAAGGCAGCCAGGTTAATCCGGTAACAGTTATATTCTGTAGATGTTTCGCTAACTGTTAATATTTCCCCCTATTTTCACGATGTCATGTGCTGTTACCGCTATTTATTTGTATTTAGAACCGCCAACTTGAATAATAACCCGCGGCAGCAGTGTAAAAGTAGCCCGGAGTCAGATGCACCTCTCCCGCGTTGACATCCGCAGGGTCACATGCATTTGAGCGCGGATTAGAATCACAAACTCGGCTGCATTTGAGTCTTTAAGGCATTTTGAGGACACAACATCGTCAAGTAAGTACATTTATCGAATGTTACAGTATCCACTGTAGTCGTCCGCTAGTAAAAACATAGTTTTATCAGTCATTATCCGTGTACGAACCAGCGCAAACAGATAATGTTACCTCACAAAGTTAGCCATCAGTCTCCTTGCTTACGTTGCGCATACCAACTTATTTCTGATTCAAACCCATATGGCTTAATTAAACCAATATTTTTACTTGCCATTGCCATTGTATCACGTTTATTACGGTTCAGTTAGTGGATCAGGAGGCGCTGGCTCATCAATGTTAAAGTGATGCTACATCTGTTTAATAAATTGCAATTATTGATGTTTTTTTTTTCTGTCAAAGGAATTATTAGGCTATCATTAATAGTAGTAATAGCAGCAGTATATGTTATCAATAAATTGCTATTAATTTTTTTCCCTCACAGACAACAGATGAGAATGCACAATCCCTGTCACTGACCCAAACCCAGGCCAACAGCACACAGCCTAGATCTCCTGACTCCCCTGATGTGCCACCACCCTGCACACCTGAAATACCTTTGCGTCGCACTCTGGCTCCAAAGAGAAAGTCTGAGCCAGATATCTCAGAATATCAGCGCTGTGTCCTGAAGGCAATTAATAATAAGACAGACGATGACTAGCATTTTCTCTTAAGTTTATCTGGGGCTTTGAGACGCCTTCCTCCACGCCGTTGTTCAGAAGTTAAAATAAAATTCCAACAGATTTTACATGAGGCAGAATTTACCTCTGACAATTAGTAAAACACTCGCATACGTACATACACACAGACAGACACACAAACACAGAAATACTTATACAGCTGTAATTGCTTCAATTTTTATATTTATTTGTATGACACTGATTTATTTATGAATCTGTACATGGAAATTGATGATTAAAAAATATATTTTAAATTAATCTACTTTCCCAGTCATTTATTTTACTTAAAATTTTGGTCAGTGTTTTATTTTTGTTGCAATGTATAGCTTGCTGGTGAAAGCAAAAATGGAAATATGCAAATTTTTTAAGGTTTTGGGTGGCTCTTAAAAGAGCCTTTCTTGATACTACTGGTGGTGGTCCTGATGTTGATGTTACTGATGGTAGTGGTCGAAGGTCCTTTTTTCTGGAGCAACACTTCAAATTGTGCCCTGCTCATCCGAAAGTACTCCTTGAACCGGCTTCTGTCCAACTTCAGTTCTTGGACCAAACGATGATACTCACCGAGCTGTTTTCGCGCGCCCAAAATCTCATGAACCCACACAGACCGGTGGGTCCGTCCTTTCTTTCTATGTGGTTCAACCACCCCTCCATCCAAAGCAAGGACCAGAGCAAGTACTCTACATTGTGTCAACATTTTAGTCAGAAACAAATTATCTACCAAATCAGATACAGTTTAGCGGATATTCCGTATCATAGCAACCAAGGCGTCTCAACTGAAAAAACGCTGCACCACAAAAAGCGCTCTCAAGTGCTCGCAGCTGGGCATTTTCAGCGGAGAGCCTGGCATTTTCAGCTGGCTAAAAATGCTTTGGTGGACACAGGGCCTAAGAGCCGATTCTTTGTAGCGAACGAGAAGAGCCGACTCTTCATCCGGAGCCTTCTATTGTAGGCCAATTGAGCAATTGTGAATGGTTTGTGTGTTGGTAAGCAATTTTTTATTTAGTGTTTTCATTAAAAGCCTTATTTTTATGCAATTTTTCGTTACAAAAAAAAAATAAAAATAAAAAATACACAAGTGGCTAATCCACAGTCTATGGGCTAATCACATGGGAGGATAGACTAGGATCATACCCTTATGTGAAAGAAGGAATGGGGACACAAGCTCTGAAGATAGCGAGTATAGTAGTAAAAGCCGGGTACACAAAGATATATTTAGAGAGATATATATAGAAAGATATACAGTATATAGAGAGACGGGGGAGCCGGATTTAAACGCAAGTGCATTGGTTAAGCTAGGAAGACACTGCATTGTTGCAACATCGGTCCCCTCAGAGAGAGTATTCTCAAAAACAGGACAAATAATCACATAGAGGAGAAATCGCATCAGCACATCCAAGCTGAGGCATCTGATATTTCTGAATGCCAACCTGCACTAAAGACTAAAGTGTTATTATTAAAGTTTTATTAAAATCTGTGAATTTTTTTTTGTAATGAAAAAAAAATTCATAAAAATAAGGCTTTTATGAAAATACTGAATAAAAAATTGCTTACCAACACAGAAACCATTCACAATTGGTAAATTGTCCTAAAATAGAAGGGAGCTCTTCTAAGGGAGCCGAGCCAAAAGAGCCGAATCGTTGAAAAGAGCCGAACTTCCCATCACAACGCGACGCTGGATGAGCGCGCGCGTGATGACGTCATCACCGCGCTCAACGGTAGATCCTCAAAAAAAGCGCCAAATACCAATTCTTCTTCTTCATTTTAAGGGGGTCGCACACCGGACGAGAAGCGCAGCGCCACGCGTCTAGGACAACTCGAGGTATCGCACACCGGACGAGAAGCCAAGCGCCGCGTCTAGGACAACTTGAGGTATCGCACATCGGACGAGAAGCGCAGCGCCGCGTCTAGGACAACTCGAGGTATCGCACAACGGACGAGAAGCGCAGTGCCGCGTCTAGGACAACTCGAGGTATCGCACACCGGACGAGAAGCACAGCACCACGTGTCTAGGACAACT